TTTTCGATTTATATCCTGCCTTTTTCCTACAAAGGGCTCAAGGCAGCTTACATCATTCTCCTCCTCCATCTTATCCCTACAACAGCCCTGTGGGGTAGGTTGGGCTGAGAGTCTGTGACTGGCCCAAAGTCACCCAGTTGGACATGAGCATAAATGGACTCGGGGATGGTGGAGGACAGGAAGGCCTGGAGGAATGTTGTCCATGAGGCTGCGATGGGATGGAGGCGATTAGCAACAACAACAATACTAAATGAGTTGGAGAGGCCTCTGTAACAGAGGTAAAGCCCCTCTCTGGCCATTTCGTTTCAGGTAGGATTCCATAGCAAGAGGATTCCATAGCATTCCCTTTGAGGGAATGTTCCTCCAATGCAGGCACTGACAAACTGCAGATACTCAACCCCAAAGTCGGATAATTCATTCTTTAATACTCACAGCTGAGTGACTTGATGAATGGAAAAGTCTGTTTTCTTATTCACACAGAACCAAAACAGACAATACTTTAAATGGGTGCCTATCACCTGTCTTCTTTTCAATTTTAGTATGCAAGCAAGAAAAAAGACATGGCTGCTAGACAGACATTTAACTGTTTGTTTTGGCATTGGAGAGAACAAAATGGGGATCTGAATCCATGTTTAGAAAGCAGCACTTTGTGAAATGGAAATACAGATGACTGCTGTGGGAAGAGGATGGCTACACAATCTTCGGACCTACTACTGCTCTTTAAGAAGCATGGATGGAAATGATAAGTTGATGAAAGTGTACTAAAGAGTAACTAACCTATATTGCAGGGATGGCCAAACTGAGGGTCATGAGCCACATGCAGCTCTCTGGGTTTATTTTGCAGCTTGAAGAGGTGCCAAAAAGTCTATAGTATAGTAGGTCCCTAGAAGTTTCTGGCATGAAGTGGGGAAGGGACAGGACAGGATGCGCCTGATCAGACAAGGCACACAATTAAGGCCAAGGCTAGGGTGTGAAATTGAGCTGCTTCCTTTGCAGGCCCTGCTGGAGCTGAAGGGACCACACGGCAGCTGCACTTCAGGGAGGATCGGGTCCCTTGCCAAAACTTTTGGCACAGCAGCTGGCAAGGAGATTTCCAGCTGCTTCTGTTGCTGGGCAATGTCTTGCATCCAAGCTCCCAAAGCAGCAGAGCACGGCCACTCAAGTTTCCGCTGATATTCTGTTCCAAAAAGAAAACAGAAAGGCCTAACTCCGAAAGGTTTTTAGTCATTTCATCTTGAAAGTATAGTGGTGTCCTAACAGAAGTTTATTCAGCAGTAAGTCCTACTATGCTCAGCAGAGCTTACTCCTAGGTAACTCTACGCAGGGTTGCATTAACTGAAATACATGTTAATCAATGAGTCATGTGATTTTGTCAGAAATTTTCAATGACTCATAGCCAAGATGGAGACTCACAAGACCCAGCCTGATAATTGTAGCAATGTCTGTCTAGTCATTCATAAATAAATAAATACTTGTTCATGTCTTGTGGCTCTCAAACATCTGACATTGACCATATGTAAATTCTCAATTTTTGCTCAAACTCTAGCTCTCAATTCCTTTGAGCAAGTCTGGCCATCCCTGCTATATTAGGTGAACTGAGGTTTAGAATGACCAGATATACATATAAAAAGGAAGACCCTTCCATACTTTGCTTGCAATTCCTCCCTCTTCCTCAAAAGTTTCAGCTGCTTTGTCTTTGCTCACAAACTGCTTTAGTTATGCTCAGACCTCCCCCCTTCCCCCCCAGAATTCAAGCCAAAAGGGAGTGGGGGCTGAGAAGGATTTAACAGACTGCGCAGGTTTCTTAGATAGAATGCATACTTCAATAAAAAAAATATCCTACAACTCCCAGCATTCCCCAGCCAGTAATGGCTGGCTTGGGTTGTGCCTTTAGTCACATTCCATAGATCAAAGTCTCTCAAATTGAGGACTAAGCAATTGTTCAGATTCAGCCAGGAGAAAAAGGAGTGGGGGAATTAATCCCTCCAGTACAGAGTGCACAAACAGCTGAACAGCAACTTAGGCCTCTGTTATTTTCTCTGCAGTGCACACGAACCATAGGAATGAAGGAGTCTGTCCAAAAACAATAAAGCAAAGCAAGAACAATGTGACCCTAATGTGTCATCTTCTCTACATAAGAGCAGCCATCTCCAAGGGGAAAAAACCCCTAGTCATTGGAAGAATCCATTTAAATCAGACACATTAAAAAGAAATTAAGGAAGGCTTCACAAAGAGCAAGGGAAAGGCAGTTGAGGCACAGCCAATTCATCCATTGGATTAAGGAAGAATTGGTCCCTGATGGCAACCCTAAAGGTTGTGCCAAGCCCAAAGCCTGCCAGACACTTCCTGATACTGTTGGGAAAATTTGGGTAAATCCTGTCTGAAAAGCTTTTGTGTGTGCTTTTGAATTTTGGTTTCAAATCCTGTCTTCCTTCTCAAAAACCAAACTGTCACTGTTTAAAATGGCGCGCCCCCCCCTCCTTTCTCTCACCTTTAGCTGTGGGCTACAGTAGACAGGCCATTCAGTCCAAATATACATTGTAAATAGTCATTGTTGGAATTCAGTTTTACAAGGAAGTATCTTCCTAGCCCAGAGGCTCCATGTGCCCTGGCCAATTCAGAATGTCTAGAGTCTAGATAAGAGTCTTGAGCTTATCATGCAGTTTCTCAGTAGCTTAAATTTACATGTCTTAAGCAGACCTGGAGATGGGTTCAAGCTACTGAACTAAAGTGTCAGTACAGGCAATTAGAAATATTGTAATCTTATTGTTGCTGTGTGATTGACTGACATTTATTTATCTGTTCTATATGTGATGACCTCAGAATCTTATTGTAATCTCTACATTCTGTCATCAATTACCCTGTACCTGAATGTGACTGGGAGTGTATAAAAACTCTCTAGTTGTGTTGAAGCTTTGCAGCAGAGTTCATCTCTGCCTGTCCGATAATGCATGCATTATCGTGAGAGTACCGCGGGAACCTTGGGGTAAATACAATAAAGCCTCAGATGGTCTGGACGCTTGGTCTTTCCCACGAACCCGAGTTTTATTTCCCTCTTCTCAAATTGAGATTCCAGGATTCTAACAATACTGTTCGGCTGTCCTTGATTATGCTGCTGACTGCCAGGCCGCATTTTGCATCTCGGTCAGCCATTTTGCCAGCTCCAGGGAAGAAGTAAGCCCAGTTCTAGTTGCTAGGCAACCACAGGGCCACTTCTCAATCAAAAGCGGAATCTCAGAAAAGGAGAGGCACATTTATTTTATGCATTTATTATGTTTATAACCCCCCTTTCCATAAGGAAGCCAAGGTGACTTCCATAAAACTCCTCCTCTCTATTTTACCCTCACAAAAAGCCTGTAAAGTAGGTTAGGCTGAGAATCAACGACTGGTCCAAATATATTTCTATTCTGCCTTTTTACCTGCAAGGAACCCAAGGCAGCTTGCATAACCCTCTTAACCCCTCTCCATTATATCCTCACAACAACCCTGTTGAGTAAGCTAGTTTGTTAGTGAATGGCTCAAAGTCACCCAACCACACTTCATGGCTAAACAGAGACGAGAACCCAGATTTCTTGAGCCCCAGTCTAACATGTTAACCACTATGCTACACAGGCTCATGACCACATTGGGCTTTGAGTGGATGAAAATTAAGCCTACCTTTTCATTTGCAATGGGAGAAGTTGCAGTCACCATTTATTTGAATCTGATCTTAAACTGCTCCTGATCCTGTTTTACTATTCTATTATTCCTTATTTGGGATAATTTTTATAATGCCTTTTGTATTTTGTTTTAATTTTGAATCATCTCATAAGACTGAAATTAGGCAAGAATAGACATGCACTAAAATATTTAAATGGAGATACAGAGGAAGATTCTATTCAAGGCACACAAAAATGTACTGTTAGTCTCCTTCCAGTAGTTACCACATGAAGCGTCTTTCACAAATCTTAACACTAGTTTTGGATATACTCCTGCGGGCTCAGTTGCACAATAAAGACATGCAGAGATGATTTTTTTGGTTCGTAAAGGGGGGAGGGGGGAATTTAACAACCTGGGAGACACCTGATTTTTTTTTAAACATTACTCCATCTCTCTCAAGCACTCTGCTCTCATGTTTTTGCATTAGAGATCTACAGACATACACAAAACCTCCCAAATTGACTCATTTGTTCAAATCAGTGTGTACTGTTCACCTTCTCTCAATTTCCCAGCCCATACACTGCTTGTTTCCAACGCTCCCTTGGCTGATCGTAGCCCATATTCTCCAGAGGTTGGGATTTTCCTCATCCTACAAATACCTGATTGTTCCAACACTTTTATCTTTTAAAAGGAAAAACAGTCCAACCAGAGAAAGGATTAACCCTAAAATATATATTCCCATGCACAAATATGCACATACATACACAACTAAGGTAACAGTCTGGGCTTAGATGTAAGACCCACTGATTTTAACAAGGGTCAAGGCACGGATAAACCAGATACAGGCTCACATCCGAAGCAAGCCGCAATACATTCCTAAAATAAAACAGCAAGCCTTTTGATAGAAAGCCTTGTGAATTCATGAATACTTCGGAGAGAATAAGAGCCTTGTGGTTAGGATAGCAGAGGGCAACTCAAGAGTCAGGAATTCAGTGTCAAACTTCCGCTCTGACCTTGGGGCCTAAATCTTTCTGCTCATTTTCGTTTCTTAAGACCCTCAGTAGCACAAAGAAAGGCTTCAAGGTTCAATTTATTAATGCATGCAAAGAGTTATTAGTGCACAGATGGGTGCAGAGAGAAAGGGAAGACAGTATTCCAAAGAATTTTGCAAGGCATTATGGGAATCCCTCTATGGGTTGCAAGCTTATAATGGGGATTCATTTTTTTAAAAAAATTAAAAGAGCCCTCTTTCCCAGCAGCTAAATAAATTATATTTTATCTGTGTAAGAGAAAATTCAAACAAAAAATACATGCACCTGGGTTAGTTAGAAGAAGGTTGTGAAAATGGCTCTTTACAATACCTAAAAATAGCTTGGTGTTTCTCCTTTTTGGTAAAGCTCCACCAGATGCCCCTGTTACCTTCTGGAAAGAAAGAAAAAGGGGAGAGATAAAAAAGAAGCAGCAGAAGAAGAAAGGTTAAAAATCTAGCTTATATCAGTAGAAGAAAAAAACTATTCTCATGTGCTCAGAAAAAATAAGGGCCCAACATAGAATTAGCCTGGGTGTGGATACTCTGGTATAAAATGTCTGTTGTTGTACCCAGTGTATGGCTCAAGAACTGGTTTCTATGCCACCTCCCAAGGTTATTAAAATGCAAATTTAACGTGTTAATAATAATATCATCATTAATCTTATTGGAAAGTACAACAGGCAATGATATTTTCAGTGGTGTAGAGATGCAAAGGCGTTTTGGGCTTTAACAGTTAATAAGAAAAGGTAATTTCAGCAGCTGCAGGATCTCGCAACCTTGTCCAAAAAGTTGCTCTTCTTTTCACCCGCTTATAAAGTACAGTGGTACCTTGGCTCACAAACTTAATCCGTTCCAGGACTCTGGTCATGACCCAAATTGGTCGTGAGCCAAGTCAAATTTCCCTATAAGGGTCAATGTAAATAAGGTTAATCTGTTCTGCAACTATTTTTTTACTCACAAAAAATGTGAAGCTAAGTGACAAAGAACAACAAAGATCGTGGCCATCTCCCCCCCCCCCCAGCGATCGAGGGGGAGGTGGGCGTGGGCATGCAGGAGGAGGCAGGTGCAGGTGCACTCAGGCAGGGAACACGGGCGCAATCGCAGCCATCTTCCCCCGCACACACGTGCCTGTGCAGGGAAGGTGGGTGCGCTTGTGATCGTCACCCGATGCAGAGTTTGCAGCCTGCAGCAAAATGTTTATGAAATTTCTGTTCGCGACCCGATTCGGTTATGAACAGGAGTTGAGGCATTCGTGAGCCAAGGTACCACTGTACCTTTTTCTCCTTTGTAACTCATTCCTCTAGACATTTCCCAGAACATACCAGAAAACACTGATGCAATAAACACCACAGTTGCTGACTATAGGGTTCATTCTGGGGAATTCACAGAGCGGACTACAGACCAACCTTCCCTAACCTTCTGCCTCCATGGTGGCGGGGAATGATGGGAGTTGAATCCCAACATATCTGTGGAGCACAAGGTTGAGGAACGTCAGACATTGTAATTGGTTTAGTATTTATTTTCCCCAAGAAATCATAGTAAGCTTAGTTCTCTGAGAGAAGCTAGAGCTCTCTAATAGATAACATTTAGTACTCTCACTGAACAATGTACTGTGAGTGAAATCTATGACAAGATGAACTGGTATAAAATGTATATTTCTAATTCTGATACAGTGGCTCTTGTCAGGCATCATAAACTCAAGTGTTCATTATAATCTTCCAGAAGTTCAGAAGGGTTGAGATCTATACCATCTAGCAAATCAGGTCTGACAGACATGATTGCAAATAGTACATTTTCAAAAGAAAAATATCCACACAAAACCAGCAACAGCCAAACTAGAATCTACAATGTTTGGCACTGAAAGATCCCCCAACCCACCTTTAGCAACTAAATCTGCAATGCTGTATTCCTAGTCAACAAAGTGAAATTCTGTTTTAGGACCTTGTGCACCATTGTGATTAGCAAAAGCCTGAGGTTTAAAGCACGGGTAGGCAACATGGAGTCCTCCAAATATTTTTCATTCCAAAGAACTTGAACAGTTACACAAAAACAATATATATGTTGATGTGAATGGTGGAGAGAGAAGAATAGTACAAAAATCTGCTCTAAGAGGTGACCTACTAAAACACTATTCAGTCGAATAGGTAATAACACAATGAGAAAGGTGCTCCAGTCCCACCCCATCCTTCACTGAATCACCTGCTACTTGTTGAAGGCCACCGTCTTTAGCTTTGGAGGCTCTCCACAAAAGCCAAGCACCAGAAAAGAAAACAGACACTTTTGACTAATATACAATACTCAAAAGTATGGGACTACAAAGTCGACACCTTTGGAAAATTAGGACCTAAAGGTTCAAATTAACCAGAAACGTTCCATAATGCATTGAAATAATTTGGAAGAAATCACTGAAAAGTTGCAGAACAGGCAATGTAAAATCTGTAAATTCTGCATGAAAAAAGACTGCATTTTGGATTTCACTTATGGATAAAACTGAGGCTGCAAATTGGTCTGCCTTCCCCATATTTTTCATGCTATAGGATACTGTTTACTGACTGATATCTTTATTGAAGTAATATTCCATGTGTAAAAAATACTCAACTTCCCCATTATCTGTCAACACAGTTCTTTGCAAATACATCAGGTTTAAGGGTTTGGTTTGATTTTTATGAGGGTTACTAACAACCATCATGGCTAAATTTTTTGCAAAGAATACTAGTTCTTTCTAAAGATGTTATCAAACACTTTATACAATTAAAGTGAAACCTATCACCTGAACTTATCACCATGGTTAACAAGCAACCTGGGGTTACAGTTATCCCAAAAATGCTAACTTGTTTAATCCTGGGCACCTCATCTTTTGATCCCCGGGCCCATGGGGATGCTTCCATACAGAGGCTCTTATTGTCCACTGTCTCCTGCCTCATTCACAGGTTTTCACAGGAGGTCCAAATGATGTCGTGCTCCATTTGTAACCTCCCTTGTTTCCAGACCACCATCTTTTTTCCTTGCCACACAAAATCTGTCAAGTAGGAAAAGACAACACAGATGTAACATATCTTTTTCTTAGTAGCTCCTGAAGCCCTCTGTCTGGAAGCACCCTAAACTGAAGATTTGTTTGCCAAGATACTGAGGATTGCCATCCTGTTATAGGGCTACCATGAAACAGCAACTCCCCAAAAGAGAATTCCAGGTACATATTATTCCAGTTATTATAAAGGCTGACCAGAAAGCATTATACTAATGCACGGCTTTTATACAAATGTAATAAAATAAATAAAATAAAATAACTTAGCAACTCACCTGTGTAATTCCCAGATACAGAATTTTGTGAGGGATTATTGTTGCTAACTTCCCTTCAACTATTTTCACTGTCACTTATGCCGAGATAAAAAAGAGGAGTCAAGAGCCCCCATGTATTGATGAGTCGCTTCAGCCTACAATTCACCTTGTGAATATGTAAGCAAACCTATTGGGATTGCTGGATGAGGACACCTGCTTCACATGTAGGCCTAAATTGAACATGGGACCTGTGCAAGCATACATGTCCCACCTCCAAGTGCCCTACACAGCCAGCTAGTTCAGACACCTTTGCGCATTGACATCTTTTCCTGACTGCAAGAAGCGGCGTATGTTTGCAAACAAGCCGCTCAAGAGTCTCCATCAGTCCCAGCCCACATGTGCTTATTTTTGGCCTGTGCGCACAAAGATGTCTCCCATCTCAAATGGCAGAAGCACCGTGGCCTCAACACTATGGTAACAAAAGGACAGTGTTTTTTCTGCACCGTACGAAGTGGCCCTCAACACCTGACACATGTTCAGAAGGTTTTTCTGAAAAACAGTTGATGGCATTAGCAGACGCTGAGAATGGGAATGCTAGTTCCAGACAATATGCAGCACTTCAGATGATACAAACTCATTGTGAGGCAGACTGTAACCCCAGTTACTTTTCTCTAGTTTATCTAGAGGAAAGAAAAAGCCCATAAAAGTGACAGTTTATCAAGACAGGAAAAAAGCCAATAAGAGATGCAAATGTTTTTCATTCTTTCAGATAGATAATGGTTTAGAAACAAAGAAACACAGTTCTGTTATTCTACACAAATTCATTTGACAGAGATCTCCATTTATGGCCCATTTCTAAACCATGAACTTTTCTACCACCAAGGCTCACAAGCCTATTAAACATACTTGTGAAAAGCACGCAATTTATATACATCTGATATTTATTTCAAGTGGTGGATTAGAGCCTTAATGGGGAAAGTGCAATGTGCAAACAGCTCTCTTCCAGTGGCCTTTGGGTAGCAGAGAAGAACACAACTCACAACAGCTGAACCAACTCTGACCTAACATTACTGGGACCGAGGTTGCATTAGTCTCCATTGCCCAAGAGGGCTGAAGGGCATGCACATGATCTTGGGAGTTCCTGCGGCCATGTCAACAGTCCACAAGCCAAGTGAGTTGGTACATATCTTCAATACCCTTCTACAACCTGCTGGAAAGATTTCCATGAAACAGGAAGGACCAGTGCCAAACTCTAAAGCAGCACTGTAAATATTTATCTGGGGAACTGGTTGCCCAACTCTTGCTTGGCATGCCAGCGCTACCGCGTTTCTCCTCCCAACCTACTCCCCCCACCCAAAGCATACACTAAAAAAAAAAAAAAAGCCAAGCCTGTCAAAATCAGGATCAACAGCACCTTGTAACATAGCTCTGTATTTCCAAAAGTACAGGAGACTAACAGCTACTCCATTTCTGTGCAATCAGGGCAGGAAGTTGCTCCAGTGCTGCTCTCCCTTCTCCAAAGGAAAAAGAGTACAGAGCTGTTAGTTAGTTCTCTTTCCTCTGCCCTTAATATGACACCTGGCCTTTGTGATCAAGAAACATAGTCGTTCTTTGTTAAGCAGTATGGAAAGGGACTCCCAAGAGAATCCCTACAACAGTAACAGAAGCAATTTTAGGACTAGAAGGCTGAGAAAGAAGGATGGACATGCCAGTGAAAATAGCCACTAAGCTGCTTATCTAAGGCTAATTCCAACTGCAAGAGGGTGAATATACAGTCTAGCATACCAAATGATTCTGAGGTGCTCTTAGCAAGATTGAATTTGCATAGCCAGCAGAACAGGTGATAAAACATGCAACAGGTACGTTAGCACAGGTTCACATATTCTCAAAGAAATAACTGCAGCTGGTACTGAATGAAGCAAGCATATAAAAGTGGTAGAGGTTCTTGACCTGCAGTCATTTATTAGCAGTAACTGGAACTTACTCTAGACAAATAACAGTACAATAACAATAACAGACAATGACAGTAACCACACTGGGAGTATTAATAAGCTACTCTGTTTCAGCCATCCATTAAAACTTAGCATATGAATTCGCCACTCTATATCAAAGA